CACCGAAATGAAAAAAAGTAATTGCCACCCAAAACTGCCCCATTCATTTTTATATAACTTTTTGGACGTCATTTGTTCTAACCAAAATACAAGGTCTGTTCAGAAAATAAACGGACTTTATTTTGTTAAACTTTATTATTACTATGTTTCGCACTGTATTAGCGACGTCTGTCCAAATTTGGTTAGTACAACTCTCTCGGTTTCGAAAATACAATATCTATGTATGTTTTCAGCCATGAAAATTTAATAATTCCAAATATTTCGAATTTTCACCGCCAAGAACGGCGGTGACAACATTTTTAGCATTAAGGCGATGTTTCGCATTGTATTAGCTATGTCATATCCATTCTCGGTTTCGAAATTAGGATACCTATGTCCTAAAATCCAAGATAAAAGATGTAAAATAAATTTAGTTAGGTAATATTAAATTGCGTTTATGAAAATATTTATATTAATATCACGATAGAATGAATTTAGTTACCTGCATTAAAATAAAGTCTCTATTTATTTTTATACAGCACCAACCCTCTGCAATAACACGCAATTAACTCAGGCAAATTAGAATAAATAGAGAGATACCTAATTTATACAGAAATTTTACTTAGGGTAGAAACTCTCTACAGGAATCCAGGGAAGTCCGAAGACCCCATGATTGACATTTGAGTGTTTAATCTGGCTTTGTTAAAGCATTCTCGAAATGAGCAGAAAATTGATGATTACTTACAGAAACACTTTAGGGAACATTTAAGTAAAATAGTGACATCCAATCGTAGTAGTCTGAAAAGTTACAAAAAAACGTTTTTATTTATTAGTATCAATTATATCGTAAATATAAAATTATTCTCACCATTTTATAAAAATTTACATATCTGTAGTACTTATGTATGGAATGATACCTAAACCGACTCCGCTTTCAAAACATTATACCTCACCCTAAGTATCTGATGCTATGTTTACGTAATAAAGTTTGGGATACAACTCACCCCACACTAACATTAACCAGACCTTCACTATGATCGTGGGAATCTATAAATATTCCATGACCGGTGTTGGAAAGACCTTCCAACACAAACACAGAACTAAATTGGTCCCTCGAAATAACCTCGAATAACTAATTCTGGTGAATCAATAAGATATGTCTAATAATAGGCACTACTATACGAGACGCATTTGATTTAATCTTGCACAAAAACCACCGTTGGTATTTTTTTTAAATATTAATATCTATCTATCTAATGGAGTGGATCATATTTCATTATCACCAACCATAGACCTGTCGTGGATTTCTATAATCTTAGAGTTCCTTATCTTCAGTCTTCTAATAGGTTCCACAAATCTGAGATTATCTTCCAAACAGTAGATAGCATTTCCTTGTTACACAAACGTTTTTAGAAGAGAACAAGTCAACGATTTTCTCGTATGTATCAATAGTTTATTTACTATAGTGGGAGCATATAAAATATGTTATTAATCGATAGGAGATCATGATATTGCACTGTACCTTATTTCAATAACAAGAACATAAATATCAAACAATTCAAAATATTGTAGTATTTAGTATTTTTATTAGCTTTTGTAGACGTAGTGTATATGTTTCAACAAATACAATAGAAGCTGTTTCTTCAACAATCGGTAGACGTGGTAAGTGAAGTGGAAAACGCTCTGGAGACCCCGAAAAGTAAAATCTCGGTTATAAATGTCTTTGTCACGAATTACCTACAGGAATAAAAGGGTCAAAGAAAGATGTAGCTAAAGATCTAATTCTATTCTAGGGTTCCTTGAGGGACAGGGTAAGTGCAAACGCTTGCTTAAAGAGACGACCGACATTATTGGGGTGTAGTTGATGAACTGTAGTTATCTTCCCGGTTTTACAGCATTTTTTCTTATAATGTACCGTTTTATATCTTGCCCTGAGGACGGAAATTTTTTTAAGATAGACTGATCCGTAGTTACTATACTCGGTTATTCAGAAATGAAGCGAAATTTTAAACTGTTGTTTCCATATGCTTGCTTGCGCATTGATAAAAGAAGAAAACTTTCTTTAAATTGAAACTAACTTACTTTTAAAGTTGAGTCTCTGGGCTCCTACAAATACGAGGAGGCAATTTCACGGCAGAAAAATATTCGTTTATTATTTAAATGATAAAATAAGTATGGAAATGAGCCTTTTTATATGTCGCTCGGGGAAGCTAATTCAACAGCGTCTCGCGTTAATATCTCGTTGGCGAATTCTTGAAATCTGCAGAACTATGAAAGTTCCAGGAGATTAAAGAGTGGACTAATTAAGGCAGATCCAAGTTATCAGCTCACGGTGTACAGCTGAATAAAAGTAAAGTAAAATAAAATTCTCAGTCGGTTGGTGCAGCGGAGCGCCGACTGCCATTAGCAGATAACATCGTTAGCAACAATTAACACAATTCCTACACCGAAACAATTTTAATTTGCAATTAAAATTCTGTTAACTCTCTTAATAGTGCTAACTGCATGGGAGCTGTTGAAAGAAAACGAAGACGATCAATATAAATTCGACAGGAATCGTGATTAAAATTATCTCCTTTGAACTGGACGTGACTAGGGTCTTTCTGAAGAAGAAGAACCATTAACTTTGTGTAAAAACTCAGCCTTTGACTAAATTTCAGTCATAGGACTTCAAACATTCTACGTTTAAATAGATGAGATGAGTGGCCTATATTGTCGATTTATTACAAATTGAGCGATTTTGGATACTTTTTTTAATAAAAAAACTCGCAATTTGGGCGATTTTTCAATCTACACCATAAAGAATCGAAATTAGGAACAATAAAAAATTGCATGACGCTATTAAAAATATTAAACAGGCTTTAACTTGATGAATGTTTCTTGTGAAATAATAGAAATATAGTGTTTGCAGAGAAAATTTATATTTTGTATAAAAAATTTTATCCGGCAGTGAAATTAAACATTAATGTCAAGTCTAGCTGCTGTGTAATATCATAACGTTTAAACTGCAGATTTAATTTTTGTAAACTAATTACTAATTGTGTATGTTGTACTTACTCAAATTAAAATATAAAGCAAATTCTCCACTTTAATTAACTTAAGATAACGAGAATTAGAATAAAACGGACATTTTTACAGCATTTTAAAACTGTTAAGCAACTTCAAAGATTAACACCAACCGTAAAATATTAATAAATGTATTTCTGTTTATAAGGTTTGCGGTATATACACGCGCCGTCATTTGTTTTCGAGTAATGACGTCATCGGCATTTTTTTAAATAGCAACCCCCTATTTTTTTTCTTGATTCTGAAAGATCATTTCATTGTCGATCCGACAGTATTAAATTGTTGTCATCTTACATGGGAGTTTTCGAGTAAATTACGATTGAATGTTAGAAAACCCAAATCAATTAAAATAAAGCAAAAACGTTATCAAATTTAGTTTTTCGAAATGCCTGAAGTTTTTTATGGATCACGTAGGTGTAGATCTTTACAAAGTGTCACTGTCATACCTACTTTCTAAGTGTTGTAAGCGATATAAAGATTATTGTTGAATTTAAAGTATTACGGCACATTTAACTGTCACACAAAGAATTGAAATTTTAATTCTTATCGGATGCGGGGATAAGACTAGAACGCAGCAGGAAGTTTGCGATTTATTTAATGAAAAACATCCAGATCGCCGTATCAGCCAATCAACCGTCAGTAAAATAGAATCTAAATTTAGAGAAACTGGCAATGTTGTAGATATTCCAAAACCTGGACGTCCAAGCGTTAATGAAAATCACAAACAGAACATTTTGTTAAGTATGGTAGATAATCCACATACTTAATACTCCACGATTGGTTGCATTAAACAGTGCTATCTATCCTGAGGCAGAAAAAATATCATCCCTACAAAATTCAACTTTCCTAAGAAAACATAATTAATTCAACTTAGTTTACCTTGTTCATAAAATATTCCGAATCATGTGCTTCCTTAAACAATTTAAAACATTGTTCATGAGTCAAACTTTTTGGGCAGGTAATTTACAGAATTTTGTTTAAAAAATGCTCGTACTTTATGAAAGGTATCAAAATTAATATTTTCCTTGACATTCGGACCATAGTATACCTGCATTTACAATCTTTGATCTTTCTGATCGACAAGCAAGTAGTACATTTTCTGTAAATTAAATATAAATATTACTTTCAGTCACATTTTTAGGGTCAATATGATTCATTTAAATGCTAGGCGAAAAATTTATATCAGTCCCTCCTGACCCTTTTGGAACAAATTTTTAAACTTTTGTGAACGATATTATTCAACACCATACTTAGTTAATTTTATCCTCGAGGATAAAACATGCCATATCAGGAGACATCCTTCCACGTCTCCCTTGACATATTCAAATGCGCTTTTATATGTCCCTAGGAAGAACTGCTGTGCTTTTGCTAGGAGGGATATTGAGGTGCAAGGTAGTAGAAAAATGTTGTACGATATAAAAGTGCACACGGTCGACGGTTAAAAACGTTTTCATGCGCGACGTCAAAGTGCTCTGGAAATTCCCGCATTTCACTTGCTTAGGACATCCACTTGCGTGCATTACTTTGCGTCAAGCGCATGGCTGCACCCGGAACTTCAAAACGGAAGTCTAAATTAAAAGTCCTTATTTGAAAAGAATATTAAAGAATAACAAAGTGGTTATAGATTTTTTTAGTTTTTGATGATTATTTTCAGAATTTAGTTCAAAAATTCGCTCCAGTTTCCAATGCAGTTCAAAAAGCTCAGTTTCGAAATTAAAATATTTGCAAATATTACGAAATTCGGATCAATCTAAGTAGATTACCAAATCAAAAAAAATTAAAATAAGCTGGTTTTTTCAGATCCTAATAATTTACTGATTACCAAAAACTGGGAACTTTATTTCTATTTATTTGTATATTTATGTATTAAATATAATAAAATACGGTTTTCAAACTTGACTTTATTCATATTTTTCATAAATTTTTATTGTGCTAAGATTTATATGCTTTGTCCTATGTCGGAAATATCTTCTCTTGGTAGAATTTCAAAATAAATCCGCAAACTCAGTTTTTTGTTTCGTTCGGCCGGATAAACTAAAATGTTTGTTTTATTTCAGGCGCTATTTTCACCGAGGACCAAAAGAATAGTAGCGTGGAGTTGGCTTTTAAGTATGCAGTATACAAAATAAACAAAGACAGAGATTTGTTACCTAATACGACGCTCGTCTACGATATCCAATATGTGCCAAGGGATGACAGCTTTAGGACGTCTAAAAAGGGTAAGTAAAATTTATCTTCAGTTTTCCCGTTGTTTGAGGCGGCAACCATAAACAAAGCCAAACTTGCACGCGTTGTGATTTAACAGCTGGACAAGGGAAGAACTGCGACATTTTTTACACGTACAGAATATACCAAATTTTATTTGAAGTGTTCAAATACTCAGAACAATTTCTTAACGAGTAGTAAGTGTATTATATACAGGGCAGTTTTTGTTGCAAGTGACAAAAGTTCTCGTCGGAAAATGTTCGTAACTTCAAGAAATGTGATTGCCTTAAGTATTTATTATGTCAGAATATTCTTGAGGAGTAGACGTTGCCATTGTTACATTTTTACATAAATGGTTTATTTAACATATTCACATTTGCTAGACGGGTTATTAACTGAACTAACTACAAATTAAATGGGATTGTCGAGTACACAGGGTGGTACAAAACTTATCAAAAAAAAAAAAATGGACGTACAGGGGACTCTTACAAATACAATTTTGTAAAGAAAAAAATCGAAAATGATTTAAAAATACACTTCTGCACGGCACTGGAAACTGGTCCATTGTAAAACCTAACCCCGCACAATGCGACCGGCATGGCGGCAAAGTGTGAAAAAAACTTTCGCAAGGAAATCCGAGTTGCTATACACGCAATCCATTTTTGACACTAACTACTAAAAAACTATTGCAAACACCACAGATAACAGGTAAACACTATCGCAACGACGATTGTAAAATCGGATTTCAGTATTCGGAGTCGCTGAGCCACGTGGCTCTCCACGTGTATTGCGAATGACGCTAGAGACTACAGTTGTCCAGCTATATACCTAATGATTGAATGTACTACAACTTCAATAATTTTTTTCTCGGAAACTATAAGGATTTTATAATTTTTATGATATTGACTGCATTTCTCATACCGCATCTATTCCCAAATATTTTTGGATAAGTTGTGAATCACCCTGTACACAATTGACGAGTGATTTTGGTTATCTTTCTTACCAAATTATCAAATAGTGCTTTACGTATCAGGAATTAGGATACAAAAAATAGAATTGATGAGCCAGAACCGTCCTGATCATCTGCCTAGGTATTTTCTTGAACTTGCCTCATTTTTAAAAAACAATTTATCATCTGTTATTTGCCAACAAAATTTAAAGTATTTTTTTTAAGATTCCACGAGATTTCTTTTTGATAAAATTCATATGCTATTTTCGCGAAAATAATTAGATTTTGATGGAAAAATAAAGTAGATAATTCCGAGCAGCTCCTTTATTTATGTTCTCGCGATTCTGATTACTTTTCCCATTAAGATTGTTTGGAAAGTATTTGACGAAATGTTCTGAAATCTTAGCGATAATTCCGAATAACTTTTTCGTTTTAGATAGATATTTTACAGTTACCATAAATTTAGTTGGATACTGAACAGAAGTATTTACATTCGAATTGGTAATCATCACGTAAAAACTTTTTTATGTTCTAAAAGTACACACGAAATTCACTGTGATTACGGTTAGTAAAATTTCACGAAATGGATAAGGCAATGGTTATATTGGAAGTGACAAAAATCAGTTCATACAAAATGGTATGAATTATTAACAAATTATTCGTACGAATAGCTAACGGAAATTAAAAAAAAAGTAAAGCAGTATAAACGCTTTCATGTATTTTTTTAATCTGTCATTTCTGTTCTATGCAGGATGTATACAAAATTTTAAGGAAATCTAGAAGAGCCTCACTGCAATTTCATGGTTAAAATGTACCCCAGAGAAAATAGTTATTAAACATATTTTCATAAGTTCTATTATACTGGTACCTCGAATAAATTACCTGACCTCAGGGAAACATTCTAATGTGTTTGTTCTACCAAAGGTGACCCAAATGAAATTATACTGGAGATAGTTAATAGTCGGGGAAGAGAGAATCCCGCCTCGCTTATTACGTTGCAGCAGTTCAGAACTTCACATGAGTCATGTACACGCCAGGAACTTAAGACTTTCTAATAACTTCTAATGCTAAATCTGCTGTGAGGACGGTATTCAATTAATCTGAAATAAATCAAAATAAGTTGAAAATTCAGCTTTGCAAGTATATTTTAAGTTGTACGACTATATTTTTTTTCAGATTCCTTAATGGAACACCCTGTATATTAAAAATGACACATTTTAAACAATACAGCCAACATAAATTTTAATTTCAATAAAATAGTTCGCTCTGTAAACCCATAGATTTAAACTTGGGACATTTTTAAGTGGTAACATTTTGCTCTCGCGTGGGTTGCCCCACTGTGTCGCTACAGTTGCAGTTCCTCATAAAACGCCCCGTTATTCAGCGAAGCTAAAAGTAAATTTAGTTCTGAGAGGAAGTGGGATTAGAAGCTGAAGTAAAGCTCCTTAGTACTGGCTTGTTCAAAGAACGAACGATTTTATTTTTTATTTTACAGCTCTTATGTACGAGTATAGGTAACAAACGGGTGCAAAGTAAAAAACCACTGAAAGGAGTATATTTCACTTCCCTGCTATAAGTTAGTAATCGGGACATAAAAAAGTTTACCCGCCTCTCGTCCCATAAAATTATTCTTTATCAAATGACTCGTAAACACACGCATCCGGAGATGAAATAAAACGTTCACGAGCTGAGAAACGCATACTTCAGGGGGTAGGGATGTGTGAAATTTAATAGAAACACCGGGATTGCTATAATCCCCGTATATCTGAAACAGACCTGATAACAGGAGGAACAAATTAAGTTCTGTATCCCGGAAAACGAAGGCTATAAACTAATGTCTAGGACATTTATTACGGGGGTGGCTTAGTTTTTTTTGTGGCAGCTGTTGAGAAGATTCAGTGCTAACTAGAAGGCTTTGGTGTTCCTCTTTGCGGATCTTCCACATTTCTCACGCCACCCCGTCGATTTAAATTCAGTTCAAAATGTGACGGGACGATATTTATTATTTCTTACTTAATTTAAAGAAGATCGCCCAACATAGCCATTCATTCTATTTCCACGAACATTCTAGCTTCATCGAAACTCAAAACATTTTACTCGAATTTCCAGTTGTCAAATAAGTATAGGCCCTTTCATGGATCAGTATTTACAGTATACTCCAGTACCGAAATAGTAGGCGGGGACTAAGATTCCATGAGCGTATCATTTTAGAGGGTTCCGAAAATTGTTAAACAGATATTTCTACTTCATTTGAAACTCAAATACATTTAAATATTTTCCTAATCCTATCAAATGAAATGAAACAATGTTATTCTATACAAAATATCTAGATACGCAAAAGATATCTAATCTCACAAACACGATTATTAACTGATGATGTAATGTATGACCTGTTTTTCCATATCATACATTACGGACGCCTAAATTTGACTGAATATCCTAATGGAATAACAAACAGCGTCACACGACACGCTCGGAGCATAAATTAATGAGAAATTTATGAAAAGCGACACTCTAACTAGCAGAGAGGTAAAGCAGAAATAAAAGCGGATGTGCGGGAACCTACTCCAATCCATGTGACCGTTGCATCGTGCTCCGTAGGGCACATAAAGTCATTGCTCCCTTTGGGTTAGTATGCCGTTTCACTAACTAGGCACTCGAAATAGGGTTACGGGTTATTATAAAAGCTGCAGGCACCCTCACCAGCAAAAGTCGCACTGAAAACCCTGATTTTCCAATGATTAAGTCAATAAAATTAATTTCCATTGCAATCAGAAGGGCACAGAAAGACAGTGGATTAGCATTTTCTTTATCTCAAATATGCCTTTGAAACGAAATATCGCAAACAAGGTTAGACCATAATGTTCATTAAAATTCAAAGATGGCTGTAAAAAATTCGTTTTCTTAGTGTTGTCGTCAAAATTATAACTAAAGCAGTGATTTCTTTGGGTCATAATAAACTCCTCATAGTCTGATGAGTTCGGAGATAAACGGCTTCTAACAGAACCGGACTGGAAATTCTGGAAATCCAATTTTCATCAACTTATTTTCACGTTTCCTGTGATATACAGGGTGTATATCACAGGAACACCAAAAAATGTAAGGGGCTATTCTACTAATAGGGATCTATGTTATAATTTTTTTTTAAAAAACTCTTCCTTGAAAAGTTACACCTCCAAAAATTAAAAAAAAAACAAATTTATCTTCCATGTATATCCAACTAAAGAAACCAAACTTGGTGAACATTATCTGTCAAAAAAACTAAACTTTTTGAAATTTTTGTAGTATTTTTATAAGGGTTTGAAATAATCAACATTATTTATAGACCAGAGCGGATCTGTTTTGAGGTGGATGTGAGAACGGGCAAGCAAATTTTTTCTGGATTACCTTCACATATTAAATGTGTAGATCCCTAGATCTGGGCGAGGTCCGGAACATTTTCAAAATTGCAAAAATGTTTAAAAATTTTTAAAAAATACCTATTTTATCTGAGTCTTGATCTGATCTTGGAATCTACGCATTTTGCAAGANATTTTTAAACTTTTGTGAACGATATTATTCAACACCATACTTAGTTAATTTTATCCTCAAGGATAAAACATGCCGTATCAGGAGACATCCTTCCACGTCTCCCTTGACATATTCAAATGCGCTTTTATATGTCCCTAGGAAGAACTGCTGTGCTTTTGCTAGGAGGGATATTGAGGTGCAAGGTAGTAGAAAAATGTTGTACGATATAAAAGTGCACACGGTCGACGGTTAAAAACGTTTTCATGCGCGACGTCAAAGTGCTCTGGAAATTCCCGCATTTCACTTGCTTAGGACATCCACTTGCGTGCATTACTTTGCGTCAAGCGCATGGCTGCACCCGGAACTTCAAAACGGAAGTCTAAATTAAAAGTCCTTATTTGAAAAGAATATTAAAGAATAACAAAGTGGTTATAGATTTTTTTAGTTTTTGATGATTATTTTCAGAATTTAGTTCAAAAATTCGCTCCAGTTTCCAATGCAGTTCAAAAAGCTCAGTTTCGAAATTAAAATATTTGCAAATATTACGAAATTCGGATCAATCTAAGTAGATTACCAAATCAAAAAAAATTAAAATAAGCTGGTTTTTTCAGATCCTAATAATTTACTGATTACCAAAAACTGGGAACTTTATTTCTATTTATTTGTATATTTATGTATTAAATATAATAAAATACGGTTTTCAAACTTGACTTTATTCATATTTTTCATAAATTTTTATTGTGCTAAGATTTATATGCTTTGTCCTATGTCGGAAATATCTTCTCTTGGTAGAATTTCAAAATAAATCCGCAAACTCAGTTTTTTGTTTCGTTCGGCCGGATAAACTAAAATGTTTGTTTTATTTCAGGCGCTATTTTCACCGAGGACCAAAAGAATAGTAGCGTGGAGTTGGCTTTTAAGTATGCAGTATACAAAATAAACAAAGACAGAGATTTGTTACCTAATACGACGCTCGTCTACGATATCCAATATGTGCCAAGGGATGACAGCTTTAGGACGTCTAAAAAGGGTAAGTAAAATTTATCTTCAGTTTTCCCGTTGTTTGAGGCGGCAACCATAAACAAAGCCAAACTTGCACGCGTTGTGATTTAACAGCTGGACAAGGGAAGAACTGCGACATTTTTTACACGTACAGAATATACCAAATTTTATTTGAAGTGTTCAAATACTCAGAACAATTTCTTAACGAGTAGTAAGTGTATTATATACAGGGCAGTTTTTGTTGCAAGTGACAAAAGTTCTCGTCGGAAAATGTTCGTAATTTCAAGAAATGTAATTGCCTTAAGTATTTATTATGTCAGAATATTCTTGAGGAGTAGACGTTGCCATTGTTACATTTTTACATAAATGGTTTATTTAACATATTCACATTTGCTAGACGGGTTATTAACTGAACTAACTACAAATTAAATGGGATTGTCGAGTACACAGGGTGGTACAAAACTTATCAAAAAAAAAAAAATGGACGTACAGGGGACTCTTACAAATACAATTTTGTAAAGAAAAAAATCGAAAATGATTTAAAAATACACTTCTGCACGGCACTGGAAACTGGTCCATTGTAAAACCTAACCCCGCACAATGCGACCGGCATGGCGGCAAAGTGTGAAAAAAACTTTCGCAAGGAAATCCGAGTTGCTATACACGCAATCCATTTTTGACACTAACTACTAAAAAACTATTGCAAACACCACAGATAACAGGTAAACACTATCGCAACGACGATTGTAAAATCGGATTTCAGTATTCGGAGTCGCTGAGCCACGTGGCTCTCCACGTGTATTGCGAATGACGCTAGAGACTACAGTTGTCCAGCTATATACCTAATGATTGAATGTACTACAACTTCAATAATTTTTTTCTCGGAAACTATAAGGATTTTATAATTTTTATGATATTGACTGCATTTCTCATACCGCATCTATTCCCAAATATTTTTGGATAAGTTGTGAATCACCCTGTACACAATTGACGAGTGATTTTGGTTATCTTTCTTACCAAATTATCAAATAGTGCTTTACGTATCAGGAATTAGGATACAAAAAATAGAATTGATGAGCCAGAACCGTCCTGATCATCTGCCTAGGTATTTTCTTGAACTTGCCTCATTTTTAAAAAACAATTTATCATCTGTTATTTGCCAACAAAATTTAAAGTATTTTTTTTAAGATTCCACGAGATTTCTTTTTGATAAAATTCATATGCTATTTTCGCGAAAATAATTAGATTTTGATGGAAAAATAAAGTAGATAATTCCGAGCAGCTCCTTTATTTATGTTCTCGCGATTCTGATTACTTTTCCCATTAAGATTGTTTGGAAAGTATTTGACGAAATGTTCTGAAATCTTAGCGATAATTCCGAATAACTTTTTCGTTTTAGATAGATATTTTACAGTTACCATAAATTTAGTTGGATACTGAACAGAAGTATTTACATTCGAATTGGTAATCATCACGTAAAAACTTTTTTATGTTCTAAAAGTACACACGAAATTCACTGTGATTACGGTTAGTAAAATTTCACGAAATGGATAAGGCAATGGTTATATTGGAAGTGACAAAAATCAGTTCATACAAAATGGTATGAATTATTAACAAATTATTCGTACGAATAGCTAACGGAAATTAAAAAAAAAGTAAAGCAGTATAAACGCTTTCATGTATTTTTTTAATCTGTCATTTCTGTTCTATGCAGGATGTATACAAAATTTTAAGGAAATCTAGAAGAGCCTCACTGCAATTTCATGGTTAAAATGTACCCCAGAGAAAATAGTTATTAAACATATTTTCATAAGTTCTATTATACTGGTACCTCGAATAAATTACCTGACCTCAGGGAAACATTCTAATGTGTTTGTTCTACCAAAGGTGACCCAAATGAAATTATACTGGAGATAGTTAATAGTCGGGGAAGAGAGAATCCCGCCTCGCTTATTACGTTGCAGCAGTTCAGAACTTCACATGAGTCATGTACACGCCAGGAACTTAAGACTTTCTAATAACTTCTAATGCTAAATCTGCTGTGAGGACGGTATTCAATTAATCTGAAATAAATCAAAATAAGTTGAAAATTCAGCTTTGCAAGTATATTTTAAGTTGTACGACTATATTTTTTTTCAGATTCCTTAATGGAACACCCTGTATATTAAAAATGACACATTTTAAACAATACAGCCAACATAAATTTTAATTTCAATAAAATAGTTCGCTCTGTAAACCCATAGATTTAAACTTGGGACATTTTTAAGTGGTAACATTTTGCTCTCGCCTGGGTTGCCCCACTGTACCGCTACAGTTGCAGTTCCTCATAAAACGCCCCGTTATTCAGCGAAGCTAAAAGTAAATTTAGTTCTGAGAGGAAGTGGGATTAGAAGCTGAAGTAAAGCTCCTTAGTACTGGCTTGTTCAAAGAACGAACGATTTTATTTTTTATTTTACAGCTCTTATGTACGAGTATAGGTAACAAACGGGTGCAAAGTAAAAAACCACTGAAAGGAGTATATTTCACTTCCCTGCTATAAGTTAGTAATCGGGACATAAAAAAGTTTACCCGCCTCTCGTCCCATAAAATTATTCTTTATCAAATGACTCGTAAACACACGCATCCGGAGATGAAATAAAACGTTCACGAGCTGAGAAACGCATACTTCAGGGGGTAGGGATGTGTGAAATTTAATAGAAACACCGGGATTGCTATAATCCCCGTATATCTGAAACAGACCTGATAACAGGAGGAACAAATTAAGTTCTGTATCCCGGAAAACGAAGGCTATAAACTAATGTCTAGGACATTTATTACGGGGGTGGCTTAGTTTTTTTTGTGGCAGCTGTTGAGAAGATTCAGTGCTAACTAGAAGGCTTTGGTGTTCCTCTTTGCGGATCTTCCACATTTCTCACGCCACCCCGTCGATTTAAATTCAGTTCAAAATGTGACGGGACGATATTTATTATTTCTTACTTAATTTAAAGAAGATCGCCCAACATAGCCATTCATTCTATTTCCACGAACATTCTAGCTTCATCGAAACTCAAAACATTTTACTCGAATTTCCAGTTGTCAAATAAGTATAGGCCCTTTCATGGATCAGTATTTACAGTATACTCCAGTACCGAAATAGTAGGCGGGGACTAAGATTCCATGAGCGTATCATTTTAGAGGGTTCCGAAAATTGTTAAACAGATATTTCTACTTCATTTGAAACTCAAATACATTTAAATATTTTCCTAATCCTATCAAATGAAATAAAACAATGTTATTCAATAAAAAAAATCTAGATACGTAAAAGATATCCAATCTCACAAACACGATTATTAACTGATGATGTAATGTATGACCTGTTTTTCCAAATCATACATTACGGACGCCTAAATTTGACTGAATATCCTAATGGAATAACAAACAGCGTCACACGACACGCTCGGAGCATAAATTAATGAGAAATTTATGAAAAGCGACACTCTAACTAGCAGAGAGGTAAAGCAGAAATAAAAGCGGATGTGCGGGAACCTACTCCAATCCATGTGACCGTTGCATCGTGCTCCGTAGGGCACATAAAGTCATTGCTCCCTTTGGGTTAGTATGCCGTTTCACTAACTAGGCACTCGAAATAGGATTACGGGTTATTATAAAAGCTGCAGGCACCCTCACCAGCAAAAGTCGCACTGAAAACCCTGATTTTCCAATGATTAAGTCAATAAAATTAATTTCCATTGCAATCAGAAGGGCACAGAAAGACAGTGGATTAGCATTTTCTTTATCTCAAATATGCCTTTGAAACGAAATATCGCAAACAAGGTTAGACCATAATGTTCATTAAAATTCAAAGATGGCTGTAAAAAATTCGTTTTCTTAGTGTTGTCGTCAAAATTATAACTAAAGCAGTGATTTCTTTGGGTCATAATAAACTCCTCATAGTCTGATGAGTTCGGAGATAAACGGCTTCTAACAGAACCGGACTGGAAATTCTGGAAATCCAATTTTCATCAACTTATTTTCACGTTTCCTGTGATATACAGGGTGTATATCACAGGAACACCAAAAAATGTAAGGGGCTATTCTACTAATAGGGATCTATGTTATAATTTTTTTTTAAAAAACTCTTCCTTGAAAAGTTACACCTCCAAAAATTAAAAAAAAAACAAATTTATCTTCCATGTATATCCAACTAAAGAAACCAAACTTGGTGAACATTATCTGTCAAAAAAACTAAACTTTTTGAAATTTTTGTAGTATTTTTATAAGGGTTTGAAATAATCAACATTATTTATAGACCAGAGCGGATCTGTTTTGAGGTGGATGTGAGAACGGGCAAGCAAATTTTTTCTGGATTACCTTCACATATTAAATGTGTAGATCCCTAGATCTGGGCGAGGTCCGGAACATTTTCAAAATTGCAAAAATGTTTAAAAAATTTTAAAAAATACCTATTTTATCTGAGTCTTAATCTGATCTTGGAATCTACGCATTTTGCAAGAATATTGAAGAGGAAAAAAGGTTTTAAAATTGAATTTTGCATGATATACTGTAAGTTAAAAATGCTTAAATTTCTTACCGATGTTGCAAAATAGCAATAATTGATGAAAAAAAGGTAAAATAATCAAGTTTTTTGGATATATTTTTTAATATTTTAATTGCTCCGAGAGCATGCTGATTTTGGTAAAAAAAAACTTTAATAGTATAATAAAACAACACCAAATTTCATTAAAATCGGTTCAATAGTTTGCGCAAAATAAATTTTTGAAAAAAATTTTGAAAACATTTTCGAATTTTCAAAATTTTGCACAGCTTCAAATAAAGCATCTAGATACTTGAACATTTTTTCACATAGAAAAGACCGCTCAACCTTTCAAATGGTTTTTGAAAAATTGAAATCGGTTGATCAGGATGGCTACAATAATATTTTTAAGTTAACAACCTTTTTTTATTTTTAAACAATTAGATTACATTTATCAATTTGCAATTTAGTTTTTTTCAAAAATGTCACAGGAGTCCTTACAAAAATACAACAAA